GACTCGCTCGAGGCTTCATCGCGGCAAGGCTCATTCACGGTCACCAGTCCACTTCGCTAACCTCGTCGTATCTCGAAGCCACCGACAACGGTACTGATGATCTAGGTTATCGGTGGAGTCGGCATACACGAAACCAACGGAATCCCTCGATGATGTACTGATCGATGCCTCAATCTATCCATCCACGGCTTGATTGATTATCTTGCTGCATTGATAGATCCTGTCATTCGTTCGCTAATGACGATCTTTCACGAGGAATCAATCGCCGAAAGCATCACAGACGCCGATGATAGATGGAGCGACAGAATCCAATTCGTTAAGACTGCTCCGCTCGACTAAAAGAAAGGAGCGAAGGGCAATGTTGAGCTACCGCTTGACGCTGATCGGATGGTTTCGACAACCCTGCGACGCCAACCTTCCGCGAGATCGCCGCCAACCTTCCTCCTAATGCGAGTCTGCAGACCCTGGGTCCCTCTGCGCGGGCAGAGATTCATTGGACACGCTGCGTCGTTCTCGAACCGAGGGTCCGCTCAAGTCGGTTTGTTTGGCCAAGTAATTTTGCGCCGTTGACAATCGCTAAGGCCAATTGTCGTTGTTTTGACGTGAAAACGTCTTTGTCGCAGGCTTTGCTGACCAATTCGATGTACTTGGTCCTTCAAGCATCGAAATCTTGCCCGCTTCTGGAACAGATTCAGGCTGTCATCGGGAGGATCTCTTCATGGGACGACTCATCAAGAGTCGAGTTCGGCTCCGGCTCCGAAGGTAACCGTTGTCAGAAATGCCGCGGTCGCGATCGAATCCGGTACAGTGAGATCTGGATTCAACCATGATGACGGAATCATGCGATATCCTTAATACACTGCTGCATGGGAACGCGAAACTCTGCTATTCCGGCGAGTCTTCCTCAAGTACGTGTACAGTTATGCTTGTAACGTGGATGAGAGCTCCGCTCTCTGCGACATTTGAAGATTGTCAAGGCCTCCATTGCACAACACTCGGCTGATGTTCCCCCCGATGAGGACACAAATGTATTTTCAAGGAGCTAAACTCAGCAACAATTATCATAACCTACTATTTCTTATCATATCGATGTCCCCTTCACGTCAAAAGTAGGGCCCAGAGTTGACCACGTTCCGTGGATGTTGACGACTACGCGCTATATGTCGAACTGAAGAACAACAGCATTCACCAATCGTCGTATCTTAGCGGATTCGTCCAGGAAGCCGCAGTGAGAGTCCGAAAGGACTTCCTACTTCGGCAGCCCAAGGACCACAATGGGTAGATAGGTGTGGTTTTCGATTCCAGATTCGTGAAGCAGAAAAACTGCCGAAACTCGATTGCTGGCGCACTTTTCGATGATGATGCCGACGGAATCTAGCAGAAGTATCGATGCCTTCGAACCATCGAGACCATCTCTCAAAGAATGATTGAATATCGCAGCTCGTTCGGGCAATCAGTGAGCTCTAACAAGCTTTCATGAAAACTATTCCCAATTCCATCAAACAGTGGGCCGATAGAGAGATAGGTCCATTCGCTATGATTGGACACTTCGGCAAGCCGACCGCTCGTCGGAAAAATCATCATTAAACGTTTTTACGTGAATCTTGACATTACCTAGCTTCTTGCTTTTTCCGACTAATTTGATGCTGATGGATTTTCTCTCGCGGTAGAGTCGAACTTGGAAGTTCCGCAATATGTATATACCGTACCGAAACTTAACGTGACCTACCGAGCACCGCTCAGAGAGTGGGGCCCAAGAATGTCCTACGACCTTCGCATTAACGCAATTCCTCTTATCTTGACAGTGTGTACATTCGCTGGATTCTCAGTCGCGGGAAATTTTCCTTTCCGGTATGGAAATCAAGTAATTATTCCGCTTGCGCCGTGCCGTACCTGTAGGGTCCTTGATAGGATCTTCGCCGGGCGAGCTTCAAGTGAAGCTCGAAAACGTCCAACACGGTGATAAGAGAAAGTCTCGCCGCTTTCTTGCGCCTTCGAACCTCGGAACTCATTATCTTGTGTAATTCGGTTGCGTGATCTCCGAAACTGCAACGGATGACATCCCGAACGAGCACTTGACGTTCCACACTTCCCGCGCGGATCCGACACGGATCTCTTCCCAGGGAGAAATCGAGTTCCTTTCCGTTCGAACTTCTATCACAGCGGATTGCTCGAGCGCGCCACGGAGACCACGAACTGAACGTCTGACATCGTATACCGCATTTCGTCCCGATTAACCTCCGGATGACTCAGGGTCGCCTCTTGATCTCTCGCTGCTTTCTTGAACCAATGAAATCCCATCCGAGTCTTATTCCACCAGTTTGTGTTATTCAAACACACGTTAGAACGCTCCAAGGCGCTTATCCCTCTAGACGTCTCGCCTTGCCTGAAAGTTCGGAGGCACACACTGAGAGCGACTGACGCCGACGTCACACGGCGTCGGATTTTCACCGATAATAATCGAGAGAACACTCCAACGTCCGAAACGAACACTCCGACTAGAAGCTCCGAGCTTGGCATTCAGCGAACATTCGGTGGACGCTCTGTGGCAGCTGGAGAAAGATCCGGACCGGGTACAGAGGTTGTGTTGGAACCGCTGATTTCCTCGACGGAGAAACGTGGAGAACGGCGCGTCAACGTTCCTGAGCGGACTCACGCGAAGTTTCAAGAAAGAAACCGGTGGTACAATCGAAGATGGAGAAGGAAGGCTTGAGATTCGGCGGCGTCTAGTCTGCCCTACCCGCCCGCCCTTCTTACACTACGAAAGTGTCTCGCTCTCGTCTCTCGTCGTTGAGACTGCTGCTATGGCACGACGGGAGAAAACGGAGGAACCGAGACACGAGGAGAAACAGCAGCCGCGATATCTAGACGCCAGAGAGAAGGTGCCATGCATTGCCGACTTTTCCCGGCGACCCTGCGGCATCCAGGTAGCGAGCAGTCGGCCCGCAATAAGCCACCCGACTAAGCGACTACGGTCCTGGAAAGGCGTTCTCTGGAAGAAGATGGAAAGCCCTCACGGAACTCACGAACAAACATCAAACAAAATTGAACATCTGTCAGAACAGTGGACAACTTTAGTTTCGCTCGGGCGGCAATGTTTCGTCAAGAGGGAACATCGCGTCAATATTTTCGGTACTGTTGCTGCTGTCACGGCTCAGATGAATGGCTCATCTCCTCACCGTCGCGCGCAAGACCGGCCGGGAAATATCCCAGTGGCGCGAACTGAATCTGTTATGAGTAGACGCGGTTTCCATGACTTAGAGGAAACCTCAACAGAAGCAGGAGGAATGGTCGAGATTTTCCCCCAGACCGGCAAACATTGGGAGTTTGACCGCATCGTCAGCTCTGAACGCTTCCGAGAGTGTGGCGGACTCGGGGTTCCAGGACCTGACGCCTGGCATTGATCTGAGTTCTTGGATCTGACCGAGCTCGAGCACAGGACCCACTGGCCTCAATTCGTCAACAATCCTCATGCGTGTCTCACCAGGAGTTGACAACTGAATGGGACCGATAGGCACCAGAGAAGAATCCAGACACATTCCGAACGGATCTCGACCCGATGGTGGGCTTACGTTGATGTCGACGATGGTGATTGTCGACGCTCATTGTCAGTGACACCGAGAGAGAGTGACACCCAACAGAGTCGCCTTCATCCCGATTTCCAAAGACTCCCCCTTCCTGTGCTCCCGTGGGTCAAGCGAAACACAGTAGTTATGCTCGTGGCGACGGTAGAGATGACGATCTCGATCTCAATCTATCCGTTCGTCCACAAATGGAACCCTTGGTCGACCGTTCCGCCCGCCGGAGACGCCGCACCGTCATCGCCGGAGTGAAAGTCGTGCGTCAATTCTTCACCGAGTCTAACTTAGACATCCGAAGGTGGACGAGATTAATGACGGAGCAGTCGACGACAGAATCGCGAACTTTTCACGCATCGCGAAATGGCTAACAGAATCGACGGAGGATTTATCAAAAAACTTCAGAATTTACGATGTCTCGAAGCAGCTTCACCGTGAGACTTCATTCGTCGTAAAAGAATGAGCCTGTGAAAGGGGATACAGAATCAATCGGTATAAAAGTGGAACAAGAGATACCGAATACCATCGAAGAAAACGACGGCAGAGATTTCAACGCTTTGTACTTCGCTTCATTGTGACGGATTTCATAGGATAACGCAGCGTGGGATCTCAGGCTCGAGTGCCGCGATTCTCGTGATGTGTTTCCACTTTGTTCGGCAGGCAGAGCTTTGAATGAGCCGATCTAATCCCCGCTTCATTGACCTTGTTCTCTTGAAAGGAGAAGCACTTGCTGCCAATAAAATCGATTCCGGTCAGGCAGTGAAAATCAGGCTGAGCCGCGCGGATCCTGCTGAAGAGCCCTGCGGTCAAGCGTCTCTAACGTGAAACACGCCCAACAAGGGAATTGCACCAGCGCCGGGGATATTCCTCCCAGACTGAAAAGATAATCTGATTATCTTTCCAGTCTGGGAATCGACTTCGAATTCCCCAACTCCAGATTCCTCTTCTGGTTATTGGTCATTCTGGATCTAAGAACTCGGACACTTCGCGAGGAAATCCCCGGAAATCCCGAATGGAGAGGATTTTGCCGCGTTGAAGACGGTAATTAGGTCCGTTCGTAGAGGCATCTCGACAGTACCGATTGGGCTTGGAGGACTCTCGCCATGGAATCTCCCACCTCCCCGATGAATCTCCGGAGTGTCCGGAGAAGATCATCGGATCGCAGGTGAAGATCATCGGATCGCAGGTGAAGATCATCGGATCGCAGGTGAAGACTGAAGACCGAAAATTCATAGCCCGCTCATCGGATGGCGATTCGACTAGGCGCCAGAACGGTGGCGCCACTGAACGGAGCCCGGGAGAAATGTTCCGCCGTGCTCAAAGGCATACATCGGGTCTCATCCTCAAGGGGGCGCCACTGTCTGCTTTGGGATCCAGAGGAGGACTGGCCACAAAGAAAGGGGAAGAGCGTCGTCTGCGCTAAGCACGTTGTCGCCTAACTCTTGTGTGTGTAGGTGTCCGGTGTGTCTATCGCCGTCGAGAAAGCAGTTGTGTTTCACTTCGGAGGGAGCTAGACATAACCAATCGAAGTTTCCACTGGTCCCGCATATCTGCCACCAAGCTGTCCCCGTCACTGATCGCGTCCGCGTTATACACCACCGTTCCTGCGATGTCTATCCGTGTCCAGTTCGAAAACAACAATGAAATCGGCGTTTTTGCCAGGCTGACCAACAGATACTGCCTGGTCGCGATCGGCGGGAGCGAAAACTTCTATTCTGTCTTCGAAGGTGAACTCAGCGATCACATACCCGTCGTTCACACATCGATTGCCGGTTGCCGAATCATAGGTGAGTTTTCGAAATGTCGTTCGAGTTATTCAGGCCACGTGTGTTCGCGCCGCTGCTGGGACTTGTCTCAGCAGTGTCGCTGCTGCTCGGGCAACGAGCATCGATGAACCCCTAGTGGGGTTCCATTTCGAGTATTGCCCTTCATCTTGAGAGGAGGAGTCTCCATCCCACATCCGAGGTTAAGACCCCAGACTCCCATACAAACCCAAACCACAGAGCAAATGATGTTTGATGGATCGATCGTTTTCCCTCAGGTCGATTGTCAGTCGGGAATCGTAACGGACTCATCGTCCCGTTCACCACAACAGACCAGGAACTTCAGCACTTGAGAAACTCCCTGCCAGACGACGTCCAGATCCAGAGGGTAGAAGAAAGACTGTCGGCTCTGGGGAACGTTATCGCGTGCAACGACTACGTAGCTCTCGTTCACCCCGACCTCGACAAAGAAACGGAGGAAATTATCGCCGACACCCTGAAGGTTCGATCTTGTTTTCCTCTGCTCGAGCATCGATTCGAACATTCATGATAGATTCAGATATCAGGTCTTCTGGATCTGAGCGCAACGAATTCCTTCGGCAGGTGGAAGTTTTCCGCCAGACAGTCGCTTCGCAGACCCTCGTAGGGACGTACTGCGCGCTCTCTAACCGCGGAGGTCTCGTTCATCCCAAAACGACTATTGAGGACCAGAGAGAACTTTCGTCTCTACTCCAAGTTCCGCTCGTAGCAGGTATTCATCAATACATACATAGATTCCCTCATGTACACGCATGAATAATTATTCCGCACATTACTCTTGTCTCGAGAGCGGGAGGTTGAGATCGCACTCATTTGTCTCCCCCATGGAAGGACTGTGAATGTTCTGCGGGGAAGCTCCGCAGGAACTCTCCTCGGCCTCCTCCCTTATTTCCCCTGGGGCCACAAATGACCTGCTCGTTCGAAAGTGCTCCATTGAGTCCTCCTGTTCCCTCGACCCAGCGGAACGGTGACCCATGGCCGCTGAAGGTCGCTTTTCATTTCCTTTCTCGGCTAGCACTCTATCTGCGGATGATATATGCCTCACCTGTTTCGAACGAGTGAGCTCATGCCTGCGTAGACTTATTCTCGTTCCATTTACGTGGATCGCTGAGTCCGTTCGCCCGAAAATCGCATGATTTGCTACAGCTCTCCCGACGACGGTTTTCAGCAGATTCCCTTTACGTTTCTGACGTTCCCTACGGCCAGTGTCTGATTCTCCCTTCCGTCGTTTTCAGGAACCATCAATCGAGGGAGTGAAGTCCTCGCTGCCGGTCTAGTTGTGAACGATTTCGCTGCGTTCTGTGGAATGGACTCGACCGCGACCGAAATGCAGGTGCGTGGTCAAACTTCGTTCGTGATTCGGAAATCCCGCAATCTCTAGCTGTCTGAACTCCCTCCCAGTGGGACGTTTGGAAATGCGACCGACCGTCGAAGCTCTGACCGACGGGCGTGATTGGACGCAGTTCCACGAAAATAATATTTTCCTGACTTGCAGGTGGTGGAGAAAGTCTTCCGAATCGGAGAAGGAATGCCGTCTGCCATCACTCAGGAATTGAAGGCAACACTGATCGAGAGCATGACTTAGTCCGATTCTCATTAAGCATTCATCCTGTACATTTATTGTAACCTCCTGCCGGTCCTCCGATATCAGTCTGTGACAAAGGTTTCTTGACGAAATAGAAGCAAGATGCGGATATACAATTATAATAAAGCGAGAGCTCTCCGACAGAGTCTAAACGCTTCCCCGGGAATTGCCCTCCGTCCATTCCGCAAGCATCCACTTGTAGTCAATTATCGCGAATCTAATCAGAAGCCGATGCGACGGCTCGAGATCAGCCCATAAGCTTAGGTGAATTCCAGTCAAAGACTCTCCCGAGATGTCCGCTGGGGCTTGTCATTCGGGTCCGTCCGCTGGTCCGACTGTCATGGCCATCACGGGATATCCCGTTGCTTAACCACGACGTAATCCTGACACATGTTTGCCAACTGGGTGCATTGTTTGTCGGTATGCTCATAGGATTATCAGATGTCACACTCGCTCTGCTGGTCGCCCCGGTGGGCGAGCGGACGGGCGTATGGGTGGCCGGTCGGTCGTCAGCCAAGCAGACGACTCGTCAATCGACCTGGGGGAGCGAACTCGACCGATCGCCCACATTTCCTCCGGCGGAAACGCCCGGCTAATAAATGCGAGCGAGAACCGAGACTGACAAGAAGTGCCTTGTCGCACCAATCGCTGCATTAAGCATTTTCTCGAGAGTGTTCAGAAGTTCGAAACGAAGGGGAATCCGGGGCTCGCTCAGCTCGGGTTCGCTGACGGAGCAAAGATCGAGGTCGGATCCGGAGAGATATTCCGCCGACTGTGTGGGTGATACCACCATCGCTGGCTTGTTACTGATTGCGAAATCAGTATGCAGGGTAAATGAAAGCAGGATAGGAGTGAGTCAGACAGTTGGACTTGCAGGCGGCCGAGCGGGCAGTCTGGGGGGAAGGGGGAAGACTGACCGACCGACCTACCGACTGACTGACCCACAACACTCGGCCGCGCGCCGGGATATAGAGATTCTTGCTTCCCGAAGCAAGCCTTCATCAATCACAGAATCGGGGCGAGCGAGAAATGGCTGTTCGCTAAGATAGCAACGATTTGACGGCTAAATCACTGATATTAACACTCGCTACACATTGGGGGAATCAGCTCCTTCGCCACGGCTCGAACACCCAGCCTCCCACTCGGTTCACTGCAGAGGATCTAACTGCTTCTCGCGACGGGCGCTTCTGACTCCTCTTTCGCTAGATCATTGGAGCAGAGAAAAGAGTACTAAAACAAGCAGGATTGTGTACGGCGAGTGCCGCGGACGATGTTCTGTGGTTCTTTTAAGGACATGGTATCACTCCTGAGCTGGAGCAGTAGCGTATTGTCGGGATCCCTCACCTGGAAGAGAATGCCGAATGTGAGAAAATGCACGCGAGCTGACATTCAGGGCTTAGGAGGGGAGCAATTCCAAGCCGATAGTCGTCGCCATTCATTCATTTCGACTGTTTGTCCAGTTATCGCACAGAGGTACACCATTCGCTGTGAACCCGTCCCAGATCGACTTTGTTCGAATAGAAGAAATTCCAATGTTTCCCTATTCGCACACGTTGAGCCGTGAAGGCTTACGCGTGAGGGCTCGGAGAAAGGACGTAAGCTTAAGTATCGAATTGAGTCACCTCTAATCAACAACTGACGTCACTCATGATCGGGGAGCGGGAAGAAGAAAATAATTCTCTCCAAGGGTATCAGTCTGAGGTCGGTCGATTCCGAGAGTCGTGAACAGGCTCCCGCTTGGGATGGAGGATGTGTCTCCGCTGCCTGCATTTTACTTGTCTGCGTTTTACCAATGATACGTTCGGTATCGTCCGCGAATGATTGCAGTCGCCGGGTTGGAATCACCCATGATAATTAGTTGGAAGGCGTGATATCTGGGGTTGGAAATCACTGCACAACACGGTTATTTGATCCAGATCGACACGAAGTTCTGTTGACGTGAAGCAATAGCAGGCTCCTATCCCTAGGTCCGGCAGCAACGAATCCACGAATTCACCCATGGTCGTCGTCAGACCTCATCTCTTCGATATCGTAAAAATTGTTCAAAATTTATCTCCAACGAATCCTGAGTGCCGGAGTCGCTCGCTCATCGCGCTTGCGGTGATGTTTCATTTGAGGCTATCTCTGAAAGTTTCCCACTTTCGGGAGGGGGCTGCAAAACAGCGAACTCATTCATCGATTCAATTAAGCTTTCATTCGGACGTCGGAGTGCGCGATGTGAGGATTTCTCGCGGAGGCGTGACCACGGCGCAGGCATGGATCCGGACTCGGGGCATTCAGATTCCCCGACAACAGAGTTTTTGTGAGAGCTCGCGATTCTGCAGCGCACTAGGGCGCCCGCCTGAACTCGATAGATCAATGTATGACCTCTTGCCTCTGATCCATGCTTTCGAAATCGCTCTCCAACTGCCCCGAAATAGTCGTCACGCGGTTTGCGCGCTAACTTCCTCCATAGAGGGAGCCCGGCAGTGATCGGGATCGAGCTATCTAGGAGGAGAACTCCCGGAGTCGACGAGGCAAGGGCTGGCACGGCTGCTCTGGAGGGCTCGCATGTTTCCCGGGTGCTCTACCCCAGAGTCCGTTCTGACAGGAGTGCCACGTTTCTGTAGAGTGCTCGTTCGTTTGGCTCGAAATCATATTTCCGCTTCGTCCCCGATTACGTCGCCTCGCATCTCTTTCGCTTCTGCTCCATGATATCTCATTCGGATCGTCCGAAGTTCAAATATTCTCTAAGCCCTGGAGCGTTGTGGTTCTTAGTAATTTCCACGACTTGTCAGGCAGCCCCGACGCTTCGGAACTTTCATTCTTCCTAGGAAATCTTGCCGAGGTGTCCCGAGGAGCAACCATATTTCCTCCCATTTGTTGGGAGGTGAACTAATACTCCTGGGGAGATTCGAAGGATAGAGCGTACAGCGCTCCCAGTTTTGATTTCGCTTCCAGTTTTGATTTTGCTTCCAGCGATGGGGTAGAGAACAGAAATTTCTAAACTCGCGCTGTCCATCGGAATTCATGGAGGGTTCGGGACGAAACGCTTCGGCAGCCGATCCGATCCCGTCCAATCACCTCATTGATTGTATTTTATTCCCCCCGAACGTCCTAAGCGTCCCGTCGTGTCGCTAAGGTCGCGACCACCAGAAATTTGCGCCCGCTCCTGCTGACTGAGGCTCAGGTTCACGGCACATTGGAAACGGATCGCTTGCCCTCGCGGAACTATTCGATTTCCTCCACATCATAGAACAACGGATCTCCCAGCTCGACTTGTGCCACGGGAAACGTCGGGTTAGAGGGAGAACGGCAGCGCGCGAGGCGAGCGACCACGGAAATGGATCATAAATTGCGTTGATAAAAAAGCTCACATGTCACTTGTCTTCTGAGACATCTGTGATGGTCAGACATCTCTGATCGCGACACGACCACGACCGGAGAGAGCAGTGAAGTTTCTTTTTGCTGAACTATAGCTATCACTGATCAGGTCGAGACCCTGGATGAAGTAACTCGCAATGAGGCTCCGCTTCGGAAAACAATCGAATTCCAGGTCGAGGAGCAAATCTCTTTGGACTCGTCATGAGCAGGACTCGGATTCCTCTTTGTAGTATGTATATTCGTCGATCGCCGACGGTCATTCATCTTCGTTGGAGCAGGGAGTCGCCGCAGAAGTTGTTGGTCTTGCGTGGTAATTTCCAAACGAATTCGTCGATTCGGTTATTATGTGTATTCAAGCATGGGTGGAGTGTACATAGACAAGAACGACGGGCTCACCGAGCCTCCAGGCAGATATTCGCCGAACAGCAGAATGGTAGAAGTTACATACTGGGAACCTCTGGCTCGCTCTCGACGACTTCGCTCAACGAGCGCGAGTCTCCAGCCTCAACAACCTGCGATTGGGGCAAAATATGAAAGCGAAGCACTCGGCCTAGAACAGTCATCGCCGAGCCTCGGAGCTCAGGAAAAAGTTTTTATCTTTCATGCAGTCGAATAAAATTAACAGATCGCCACACTAAAACGAACAATGTGGCTTCTGGAACGATCATTCACAGTCACAACCCGCGACGATCATCAGTGGCCAGACGCCCTTCTGCAGGCGCATGCGGAGAAGGTCCAGCAGCGGGGACGAGCGACGTGTGGATGAAAGTTCCGAGGGACTAATCGTCGTCGCTGTCAGAGAAATGCAAAATTTCCTTCCCTCTGCCTAATGGTTGATGGTCTTCGCGTTGAAGAATCGTCCATTTATATTCGACAAGAATTGTGGCTGACCGGCGGACCAGTCAAGCGACGGCGGCCGGACCGGCCAGCGACCACCATCAGCAGCCCCACGTTGGGTTAGTGAACTGTGACGCAAGGGGGGAACTTTCTCAAACAGGGTCCCCTAAGCTGAAGACCATCTATTCAATGCCCCTGGGGTCCTTGAGACTTTTTTCCTACGAAACCTCGTTGGCCGCCTTCACCGCAGAATTGTATCATTGGGTTTCTGTCTCCGGTGATGTCTTCCGCCTTTGAGCGAGCGCGCTTCGCAACAGCCAACCCGCGGTTAGCTGGGACTGATTCTCGAGGCGACACACCTCAGGTGAATCACTTGGCGGTGCACTTCGAATGCCTTTAGGGTGACACAGGTCGTATTCATGACATGAAACTGAAGTGAAGCCCATGGGAAAGCGATCGTCGAGCGATCGCCTTCGAATGATCAGCTCGCGACGTCGCGCTTGGGCCCTGTTTGCGACATATGATATGGCCGATTAAGACGACAGCGAACGACTCAAGTGATGTTCACAGGTCTGTTAATGATACGCTCGACAAATCGTCAGCAAAGCTGCCGAGTTTCGTTCGTCCGAACGACATCCGTTCGATTTCAGCTCTTAGTTACCATTCGCCTATATTCCGATATTTCTGCATCCCTCTCCCCTTACGGCCACTAACGATTTTATAGACCCTCGGTGCTTGAGACAATTTTTTTCGCAATCGAGCGATAGAAACATTCTGTGATATAGCCCGCGGAACAGAACGGTAACATTTCGAGATCTTAGGTATTCTCCAACCGCCGAGAGTATAGGAGGAATTCAACTCACTCGTGGCGTTTTTCTTTTCGACGAACGAGACAATACTGGTTATTCGGAGCGTTGGTTTGATATTCAGAAGAAACGAGTTGACACGAATACTTGTCTACTCAACCAATAAGGCAGAACTTCCCCTC